ATGGCCCTCTGGGGCGCATGCCCAATCCTCGTTCCTCAACTGGAGCACTTCGTCAACACCCTCTGCCCGCCTCGCGACGTCCCGCGAATCATCGCGCTCGTCGAGGCGCGGATCGCGCTCAGTACCCCCCTCCGAGCCGTATCTCTGCAACCGCGCTTTCGCCCTGTCGATCACAAACCAGACTGCCCTGTACCCACGCAGCTGCAGAAGCTGCAAGAGGCGATCACGAGCTGGAGGGCGCGGGGTATTCACGTTGAGTTGGATTTGAGTAACACCGGATGCGAGGACTGCGACGACGGCGACGATTACGGAGTCATGGACACTGATAGTGACAACTCTGAGTCGGATACCGACGATGCTGAATCCGTGGTGTCGGAGGATGAGATCATGGTCTTCGAGGGCAATTACTTTAATATCTTTGAGTCGGCGACCGGGTACTACTACTCAGGCCCCTCTGCGTAATGTACATAGGGTTCTTTGCTCGAGATCTAGCGGTGGTGGATGGTGAATAATATCTCCTGCATATATCTGGACTCCACTCAAGGGATAGTGAACTGCAGAATTTTGTTGCGCGGCTCGGAATGCTTATTCGCGCCACGGTCCATAGTAGACTTCACACGGAGGCCATACGGGACTCGTGGCCGTGGTATGGACTTTCATACAATACGGTGTTGAAAAAACAACTCAAGTCCCTGGCGGAATGGCTCAGTCCCGAATCGAACGGGGGATTGAAGGAGCTGCAGATATCCAAGTGGACGCGGGCGCGGACCACCCGCCACCGAGCCGATGCAAGGCTGGTCAAGACGTTGAACATGCACGACTGCTTTTGTTGAAGTTTGTGTTCAACTATTGCCTCACTGCCAAGTGATCGAGAAGAAACTGCCGGCGAAGTTCAACCTCCCTATCACTCCGACTCCCTGAGAAAACAGGTCCGCAAGTCCTTTGAGAAAAAGTGCGTTTGGGTACTCTCATATGACCCAGCCCCGAATCGAACGGGGAACTCCTGCATAAATTGCATAAAGTTCAGACTCATCAAGTAGTGCAAGCACGGACCACCCGCCACTGGGCCAGTCATCAGGCTCGTTCTTGGTGTGACTTTTCTGGCGCGATCGGTGTTCCAAAATGATCATACAGCAACGAGGTTGACCTATCCATAATCCACTGCGTTCGTAAAAAATGTAACTGCAAGCAACTATGGCCCGGTCCCGAATTGAACGGGGTTACCTGCATATTCCAATTTCACCACGAACAGTATACAGATGCGGACCACCCGCCACCGAGCCGATACAGAACTTCTAATAAGGCCAGCATGAGATATAGATGTTCCAAAGCCACACACAATGGGATGTTGGTTCACAGTTCACAAGTCTTGTCCCAACAACGCACTCAGTGCGACATGGCCCAGTCCCGAATTGAACGACTCCTGCATATCTATCTCGCGTCTTCTTGTCATGGTAGGCGCGGACCACCCGCCACCAAGCCATTATCAGGTTCTTTCCGCGCCGAAGATGCACACCAGTGTGAACTAGTTCAAAAGGAAAGGATCAAAATCCGAAGGGGATGACGGCTCAGGCCTGAGCCGTCATCCCCTTCGGATTTTGATCCTTTCCTTTCCTGCATATTCTAGAGTACAACGGCGAACGGCATGCAGGTGCGGCTCACCCGCCACCGAGCTAATACCTAGCTTGTAACAGCTCAGTGTATACCTTAGGTATACACTGAACTTTCACTGCTGTCTAGGATGTTCCCGAAACGGCCATAATGGACCAGGAATGGTCCAAGTCTGCTTGTTCAAAGACAGAGAAAACACACTCCGAGTCCAAAAAGAAAAGAAAAGGACCCTCATTGTATGGCACCATGGCTCAGCCCCGAGTCGAACGGGGACTCCTGCATATAAGCACAGGTTCTTTTATCAAGGTATGTAGATGCGGACCACCCGCCACCGAGCCAGTGTCAGGCGTGTTCTTAAGATTAATATACACACTACGTTTACTACGTGTCTGTTGCAGTTGTGGTTCAAAAGATTACTTACACAATACCGGACCTGAAGCCCAGTGAAAACGCCGGGTAGCTAGATCGAGCCGCATCGAACCAGATCGAACTCCTTTGGATGGTTCGAGCTAGTTCTCAAAATGGCCGGGGGCTCGATCTGGCTCGATGATTTTGTGGTGATATACTCAACCAGATCGAACCGGAGAGAACTGTGTAGAACCAAATATATTCACATCGAACTATCGTACACATCCGCATACTGACGCAACCGCCGCCTGCCACCGCTCCCACCGTTCCCGCCCACCACGCCGCCCACTACCGCATATCCTACACCTCGCTGCGCAGAACCCAAGGCGCGCAGGAATGCTGTGTGAAGACGGGGAGGTTCCATTTTGGACTGAATAAAAACGTGAGCAAGTAAAAGGCAAAAGAAGCAAAGGCGTACGTACCGCTGGCGGGATGTTTTGGATCCAGAACACACTGCACCGAAAACCGTGGGATGGAAAACCTACGCAGAAGCCAAGTACAGACAGCAGTCAGTGGAAGAAGTCAATGCAGCGTTTGAGGGAGACACACCTTACATCGCACCATCCGGCACGTTGCGTCGCTGCATATTGGAAGAGGTTGAGTAGGCCGGAATCATCGAGCTGGCGGGTCTGAAACGGGCGGAGGCGGCCACGCTGCAGCTTGAGTTGAGCGCGGGACGGGACGGCGGCGGCGACGGGGACGAGATGCGGGAGAGGACGGCGGGGCATCGAGGGATGACGAAGTGGAGGAGGAGGGCACAGGCGCGCGAATGGCGGGACACGCGCGTAGACGAAGGAGGGGAGGGTGAGATGGGCAGTATGTGCTATCATGACGCGGACAACGGCGTGGCGACGGCGAGTTGGTTAGCGCGTCTCGAGACGTAGGAAGGCCGGGAGATACCTCGTCCGCATTGCGCTCTCTTCAGGGCATACGAGGATTCCACACAAGGGGGGGGGAAAAGATCAGTCGACAATGAAATGAGTTAGATGCCGGTACATACCATGCACCCCTTCGACGTAACTGAACGCGCTGCAGTAGTCTGCGTTGATGCATACTCCGAGGCGCCCGAAGTCTAGGACATGGGAGTCACTCGCGAGAAGAAGGACAGATTCAATGAACGTACGGCAGCATACTGGCCCACCAACGCCCGGGCCCTCGACTAGCCTCGGAGAATGAACGATTGGGAGTGGGAAGGTGGGAATGGCACGCACCGACACAGAGGGTAGAGTCAAAACGGGCCAAGGCGGAAAAACAGCCAATGTCGAGGCCAGTCTTGCGGCGTCCACCCCGTCCAACACGCACAGTAGATTAAAATGAAAAAGAGACCGAATGAGGGGAAGAGGAGAACTCACTCAACGGAAAGACTTAGATACATGGATAGCCTGCAAAGGACAGAGACAACGCGTCAGAGCATCCTTCAGAGCCCACAGGGTGCCGGGGGGAGGCGGTCGGAGGGAATTAGACATACTGGGAGCAGTTTTAGCTGCAGATGCTGCTGGAATCGCTGTAGGCACCCGCGACTCGACCCCTGCGGCGATGAATTAGAGAGCGACACTGGAGGCGGATCTTGGCTGGTCTTGGACATTCGAAGGGGCTATAGGCCTAGGAGGATGCAGTACGAGGTCCTTGGGGACAGGGAAGGGGGCCATTGGCGGGAGGGAGAAGTCCTCGAGCGGTGGTGGTGGTGGTAAGAAGCAAGAGGCGACGCGTGACGTCACGCGCAAAATCGTACGACTTGATAATATTCACGGCACGGCACACAGGACACCGAGTAACAGGTGCGGCAGCCTGCAGCGCTAGCTGTGGCTCGCGCAATAATTTGAAGCGGCCGAAAATACATTTCAAGTCTTTGGTTCGATGCCGCTCGATGCGGCTCGATCGGCTCGATGTGGTTCGATCCGGCTATCCGGCGTTTTCACTGGGGGCCTGAAGGCCTGACTTGTGAATCTCCCAAAAACACCGTGTGGATAGACTAATGGCTCAGACCCGAATCGAACGAGAAAATATGGCATATATACTGTGTAAAAACTGCTTCTATGCAACTTCAACTTTTGACCGCCAAATTCTCCCGCAACTTTGGCAAAATGGTCTGAATGCCTGCAACTTCCGGTGCAGGCAACATTATTGAATGCAACTTTACTTGCAGGCACATTTTTTCCTCCTACCTTTGCGAATCTGCCGAAAGTTTATCCCTGCTGCTCAGGCTAAAATCACCTCCAAGTTCAGCCCGGCTGCGGCTCCGCCTTAATCCATTTGATGGCAACATCCAATGCCGGATTGCCGATCAATCAAATCCACAATACACTTGTGTGCTGCGACGCATCACCCTCGGAGGTCAATTTCAGACTTGGTCTTCCTCTTGCTTAATTCCTCGATACTCAGCAGTCCTGGAAGTGTGGATTGAGCTGAGGAAGTTGAGCTGGTCAGGAGTTTGGAAATAAACTGTTCGATTTGTGAGGGGGCTGGCAGTTGCTCAGGTCGGGAAAAGGGAAGGGTCCTATCGTCACTCAAGGAAGCTGTAGGACTAGCACCCTCCAACCCTCAGTTATTCCAAGTCCCAAAACGCAGCGCAAACGCTAAGGAAACCGAGTGCCGGGTCAGCCGTGATCAACACATCAACCGGATCAATGTTGAAAACGTTTCGCTCAACATGTTCATCCCCAAGGTGCTGGTGAGCTCAAGTTGTCAGATAAATGATGAGGAATTGAGTTGCGTGCATGCCAAAAAAGTTGCAAGCAGCCTCAAGAAGATGCAGGTGCGTGCAACTTAAAAAGATGTAAAAATTGCTGAGGTTTTTACACAGTATATCGCCCATAAGAAATCAATACTGCATATATCGCCTTGGCGTGGAGAAATCATAGGTCATGTAGGCGGACCACCCGCCATCGAGCCGACGAAGAGGCGAGAGGTTGGTTTTGGAAATCACACAGGGCTGGAGCTTGTTGAGGTCAAAAAGGATCTTTCTCTGGAATACGACTCCATGGCCCAGTCCCGAGTCGAACGGGAAACTCCTGCATATGCAAGCAACTGCCGGGTTACCAAGTGCATGCAGGCGCGGACCAACCGCTACCGAGCCTTTCTGGGCCCAACTCACCTCTTGGTGTGTGCAAGTTAGAATCGAACGGAAGGAGAGAATGGATTAAATGTACTTGGCCCGCGGCGGGATATTCATCCGGAGACCGACGGAGAGGTGGCCCCCGGTGGCAGGTAAGCTGGATTACGGAGGGTTATGCGGAGAGACCTACAAGTTGGAGTGGGCGCGAGGGGAAACTAACCTGAACAAAGGCTCGACAGAAAATCAATTCTGTGGTTCGATTGTGTGGCCGAGGTGCCCGAGTGAAGCCCCTAAGGAGTGAACAACTGAGAACCGTTCAAGCGCTTTGCCGCCGCATATTTATGCGACAAATTGCTACTATCTGCCAATACACGATGGCCAAAATCACCTTTGAATGAACGGCGACTGAACCAACTGCGCCGTGGCGACCTCTGTGATCTCAGATACCACACCATGAGTCCAACCGCGAGCAGTATCAGTTGGTGCGTCACAAGTTGAGCGTACATTACCTCTCAGCGGGGCAGTCTTCTGAGAAACATCGGGAGTAGCTGAACTTGAGCTGAACCAGTATCAAATTTCCTTGCAGACGGTGAATATAAATGCTCTGAAGAGAACAGTGCGCTCAGGGAAGGATACAAGATATATTGAAGAGATTGGCGGAGGATTCATTGGCTTAGAGTATCAGGAATGCCATGGACAAGTTCACCTCGGACATACGTGCGGGGCAAGTCGGCAATCTGACGTGCACGTCAACATGTTGACTTGTGCGGGCGACAAATTGACTTGCGCACCAAAATCCCCGCACAAGTCAACACAAGTCAATCTGCGCGGGCGCAAGTCAATCTGGCAAGCTCAAAAGTGAACCGTCCATATTTAGCAAGCAGTCCAGAAAGTGCATGCAGGCGCGGGCTACCAAGCCTTTCTGAGCCCAACTCACCTCTTGGTGTGTGCAATTGAAATTGAACAACAACAAATTAAGTACCTGTGTACATGACCGGTCACCCGCAGCGGGTTCCCATTGGGGACTTGATTGCTGTTAAACAGCTTTGCAACGGAGATGAAATGTGAACCCGGGTTGGTTTTGAGCTGCGCTAGGCTGCGCTATCGTGGAAGCCCGGACATTATGTGAATAATCTCGGCCGAATCGGGCAAGCTGTGGTGGATCTTGTACTGCGTGCAAGGGAACCGAGGTTGAGGATGGAGCACGAGAGGAGAGAGGGAAGGAAGGTGGTAACCTACATGGGGATTGAACCAAAGCCGCACAAACGAACGAGGAGCATTTCGTTAAAGAACGGCAGGTTGGACCTGAGACTCATAGACATAAGTAATTTACCTTGCCGTGTCCTATTCGCGGTATGCAGGACCGAGGCGGTGTCAACCCGATTTTCCCTAAGTTCCAAACATTATATATGTTCTTGTTTTGCCCAAAAAATCAGTGCTATCCCACATGGCCCAGTCCCGAATCGAACGGGCTCTCCTGCATATGCATATTGTGCAGCGTACACCTACTCACGGTATCCAGGCGCGGACCACCCGCCACCGAGCCTACACAAAATTTGTAGACAGATGAATATATATGCCTTTTTCATTTCTGCTGAGGTTGACTTTCCAAGATCCTGTAGAATTGCAGCCTCAAGTGAATGACTCACGAATCGACCGGGCGGTTCCGGCCACAGGATACTTACTCTACTAAAAAAAATATTCGATGGCACTACCCAGTGGATGGCTCAGCCCCGGATTGAACAGGATTTCTGCATATTCCTAGAATATCACCATGAACGGTATACAGATGCGGACCATCCGCTACCAAGCCGATGCAAGGCTTGTAGAACCGTTCAAGATACACCAACTTTTTTTGTTGAGGTTGTGCTCAACCACTAGTCCCTTGCCGAGGGATTCAAACCAAGCAATCCCACGGTTAGACCTGGGACTCATGGACATGAATAATTTACCTTGCCGTGTCATATTCACGGTATGCAGGACCGAGGCGGTGTCAACCGGATTTTTTAAGTTCCAAGCATTATGTTTTTAAGTTGCAAACAGTATGCAGTGACTTCTTGTTCTGCCCAAAAATTGCAGTGCTATCCCACATGGCCCAGTCCCAAGTCGAACGGGATTTCCTGCATAGTACTTTAACATCATCACGATTCTGCACGAACAGTATGCAGGTGCGGACCACCCGCCACCGAGCCGATGCAAGGCTCGTAGAACTGTTGAATATACATGCCTTTTTTCTTTGTTTTTGGTGAGGTTGCCTTTCAAAGATCATACAGAATAATGCCAACCTCAAAAGAATGGATAGACACACTAGCTAGGGAATTGAACGGGTGATTGGTGCAACAGCTCAGCTGGGTAATTTCCTTGTTAAAAAATGCGTGCGGCAACCCGATACAATCATGGCTCAGTCCCGAATCGAACGGGGGACTCCTGCATATAAGGCCCTGTTCTTTTACCAAGGTATGCAGATGCGGACCACCCGCCACTGAACCAGTATCGGGCCTGTTCTTGGCGCGACTTTTCTGGCGCGATCGGTGTTCAAGAATGATGATACAGTAACGGAGTTGACCTCTCCAGTGTGTTCAGGCCAAAAATACGATATACCTCTGGACGTTGTTATGGCCCAGTCCCGAGTCGAACGGGTGTCTCCTGCACATATGCTCCACATCTTCAAACAAAGATATGCAGGTACGGTGTCGCAGTAGCGAGTTCGCGTCACGTAGACTGAATTATTGGGTCGGAGGTCCGTAGTGCTGAGCAAGGGTGGGGTAAAAAGTGCGGTGGTGGTCCCAGGAAAGTCGTCGAGGCGTGGAGTAGAAATGCGAGGAGATAGGGGCGAATGCCGTGAGGGCGTGAAGTAAGGCTCGGGCTCGGATTGTGCTCGGAGAGGATGAGAATGAGGAGGAAGGATGTTCGGGGTTCACTGGCGGCGTGCACTCGTTGGCGCACTCAAGTCACTGGCCGCGTCGATAGATGTGGTTCGGGGGGAAAAGAAGATCCATTACCAAATGTACCTAAGGAGTATAAATACCGGACGCTACCTAAGACATCGAGGGGCAAGTCAGGGTGAGCAGAAAGGGGAAATGCGAAGAGCGGGTCATCCCCCTCTTCCACAACGGACCACCCGCTACCGAGCCTTCCTCATCCTAATTCATTCCACCATTCACCCCCGGCAGATTACTCATTGCATGTGTACTTGGAGTTGGCCCGCAGCGGCATTCCCATCCGGAGACCGACGGAGGGGTCGGCCCCGGTGGCCCTGTCAGGTAAATTGGATTACGGAGGGCGGTATGGGGCAAGATTTACACGTTCAAAGTTGCCTGAGGGGAAAACAAAGATGCAGGAAGGCTCGACAGAAAATGTCGTGGTTCGACCCTGGCCGAGGTGCCCGAGTCAAGCCCCTAAGGATCGATGATAAGATAATCCAGCACCGACTTTGCCAACCCTAGCCAAAACCACTTCACAGTGTCGTTTTTACGCGCAAACTGCTACCCGCCTAGTGCTCCTGGCTCAATTAACGCTGAATTAACGCAGATACCCCGCCGCGGCGATCACCGGCGGCGCCCCCGGCGATCAATGTGCGGCGTTTACACGTGCGGTGCCTCTCGTCACATCAATCCTCCCTTCTGCTCCGCCCTCCTCGTCGACTCGATGATATCCACAACACCGCGTCCCAAGCAGCACTCCCTGCCTAGGTGAGTCTTCCCTTAACTAGCCCTTGCACCTGTAATTGACTGGCTAGCAGCACCGTCGGCCCCTCGCACCACCTCGCCGCACTCGCGCCCCTCCCCCCAGACTCGCCCCCGACGCCGACAGCGACGCCCACCGCCCTCCGCACGTCGTCGACAACAGCACCGACAAGCCCCCGAGCAGAGGACGTGAGCATCTGGCTCCGCTGGGCCCTCTCCCCCGCCTCCGCCCTCCGCGTCCTCCTCGCCCCCGCGCTGCTCGCCCTCCCCACACGCCTCCTCCTCCTCCTCCTCGGCCCCCGCGTGGCATCGAGCTGGGTGCTAAGGATCCCCGGCTGGGGTCAGTGGGACGTCCCCACGAACCCCTTCCCCGCGTTCTTCCTCCTCTCCCACCCCTCCTTGCCGCCCTCCCCCGCTTCCCTTTCCTCGCCCGACTCCGTCCTTGGGCTCGCGATGACGCCCGAGTGGCTTCACGGCGGAATTGGAATTGGGGGAGACGGGACTGGGGGAAGGCAGCTGTACACCAAAGGCCCGCTCGACCTCCTCCTCCTCGCCTGGACCGTCGTCCTCTTCTCCCTCCTCCGCCTCCTCTTCACAAACACGGTCTTCCCCGCACTCGCGCGCGCAGCGGGGATTCGGCGGCCAGGCAAGGTTGTGCGGTTTGGGGAGCAGGGGTATTCGGTGGTGTATTTTGCGGTGGTGGGCGTTTGGGGGGTGGTGAGTGCCGAGTTTATTCGTTGTTTCTGGGGGGTGTGCGGGCGGGAGTCGACTGCGCCCGCGCCGCAGCCAGTCCCTTCTTTGGGCGCCTGCGGCAGTCCATCGTCTGTCTCGCGCCCGCGCCGCAGGCCATGCACCGTCTCTCTTGCGCCCGCGCCGCAGGCCATCTATTGCCCGCGCCTGCGGCGTATCCCTTCCTCCCTTCCCTACCACTTCCTCCCTTCCCTACCACTTCCTTCCTCCCTACCCTTTCCTCTTCCCCACCTCCCTTCCTTCCCGCTCCGTATCCCTCCGTCGCCCATTCGTTCCACCCTGCCCGTCGCTGCACCTCGTTTCCGCCACCACCATCCCTTCCCTTCTTCCCCCCTCGCTCTACCACCTCTTCTCCCTTCCACTTACTAACATTCCTTCAGTATAACATGAGCACCACCCCCGTCGGCTGGTTCGCCACGCGCGCCTTTTGGGAAGGGTACCCGCACACGCATCTGGGGGGCGCGATGAAGCGGTATTATTTGTGCCAGATTGGGTATTGGGCGCAGCAGAGTGCTGTGAGTGCTATCTCATTCTTTTTTCTGGATTCGTACGCATGGCTTCCTATGCCATCCGCGGAGCACACTC